AAGGGGAAGAACAAATATTCTTTAATTATACAGCGACGAAGGAAGGTTTAACCCACCCTTCTACGGGAAACAACTTGGAAAGACATTTTCCACGTTTCCCAAACATACTTCGTGGGTTCTTCGAATGCGGGTTTCCAAACTGGCCGGACAGGAAGGGAAGCATCGCATCCAGCACGCGCGGGTCCATCGGGGTTGTCGCCTGCGACGGGCACGGTGGGTTCGAAAGGCACGCCCCCAGCCTCACGGGCGGAGGCTGACCTGCGAGTCGAGGTAGATGGCCTTGCCATCCCGGCTCTGCCCGGCGATGCTCATCACCGGCGCGGTGGACAGCCGTCGCGTGCCGCCCAGCCGGCCGGGGGCCACCCAGCGGGAGAGGCGCGCGGCAGCCATGTATGTGTGTATCGCGCGGCGATCAGGCAAAAAGAATTCTGCGCGCGCGTCCTCCCATATCAACTGCTGGGTAGCCACCTTTGGCGACAGCTGCGCCGCGGGAGGGACCGAGGCGACCGCAGGCACGGGACGTCGCTGGACCGGCGGCTCCGAATACATGTCGAGGTCAGAGCTAGCCCGTGGTTCCGCAGCCGGCGCGTGCGATTGCACCATGTACTGCATGCACAGATACCAGAGGCTGCATGCCACCGCCGCAATGATGAGCAGCCGCCTCGGCGGCCGGGCGGTAGATTTGGGCGGGTGGCGTGGGTGGTGAGCCTCAACGTCATCCTCACGCCGCGCGGCGAGAGAGAGAGAGAGATTTTTATTAACTCTTTCTTCGCGGCGAAGGGGTCGTGATGCCCTTTGCGGGAGATCATGGTGGGCCAAGCAGCGCCGGTCGCGAAAAGAATTTTACGACGCAATCAGTGCACTCCAAAGAAAGAAGGAAAACAGACAACCCAAGGGAGGGATGGGAGGACTCCAAGTGCTCCAACCCCGGGTTTTTGCGCAGCGGCGCCGCCAGGCGCCCGCCCCGGCGGTGAGCGACGCGTAGCGAGCGAATCGCCGTAGTGGGCGCCTGGCGGCTCCGCGGAGCTCCTTTGGCTCGGCGGGCGCGGGCGCGAAAAAAGAAATTTGTCGACGAGCCCCTACCCAGCGCCTGCGCTCGGCGAAGGCTGCGAAAAATTAGAGGTCGCGAAATCGCTGCTGCGTGCGATAACTCGCCGTACTGAGCCTAGCGCAGCGCGAACACGCCGTCTGAGCCTAGCGCAGCGCGAACTCGCTCCTGTTCATAGCTGCGCAACCCTAGCCGGGCTCCATTTTTCTTTTTGAAAATCGGCGGCTTCCCGGGGAGGGTCCATGAGCTCGAGCTGCTTCTACGACGGCAACCGCGTGGAGTACACACGGCTGAAAAAGCCTGTCAAGCGTAAGGCAACGGTCACCGTCGTTCCCGCCGGCGCTGCGCCGCCGTCGCACGTGCGGCGGCGGCGAAAGCAGGACCGAAACGTACTCCACCTCTCGATTGAGCGCGATGGCGGCAAGAAGCGGGAGCGGTGGACGCGCGTGTCTCGGCTGCTGAAGCGTCAGGTCAAGGTGCTCGAGGGGTCGGGCCTCAAGCCCGGCGTGGGCAACTACAGCGAGGACGAGGATGCGGCGATCAAGCGGCGGAAGACGGGAGGCGAGGCGTACAGCAGCATCGCACGCTCGCTGGGGCGCAGCGAGCAAGCAGTCACAAACCGAGGCCAGCGGCTGATGAATCCAAAGCTCGCGCCGATGGGCCAAGGAAGGGCTGGCGTGCCGCAGGACCGGAGCATCAACTGGGTGGACGAAGTCACCAGCGCGATGCAGCGGCTGCCCAACCAGCAGGGCACCGCTCACGATGTGATTGCCGTGCTGAAGGAGATGGGCCACGTGTTGGACGAGAGCCTTCATCCGGGCACAAGTAAAACCAGGGGCTTCTCGCTTGTCGGCGACGTCCTGTCCAGATCAAGGACCCCGCAGTTTGCAGCACTCCCGCGCCCCGCTCGCTTGGGCCAGTCCGGCACGGTGGTCCAGGTCACGCATGGCAGAAAAGGTCACAAGGCGTCGGTGCAGTTCCAGGACGGCGCAGTCGAGGCGTTCAGCGTCGGCAGCCTCGCACTGGCCGCCTCGCCTGCTGCGCGCCGGATCGCAGCTGGCGCCTCCGTGACAGTCACGAAGGAGGAGGGAGGAGTTGTGAAGGTGGAGGCGGGCCCGCGCAACAGGCCCTGCACCGTCTACAAGTACAGGCCGGAGCTGACCCCGGTCAAGGCCGTCAAGTCGCCGACGAAGCGCAAGAGGCTCAACGCCAAGGAGAGGAAGAAGGGCTACGACGGCGTAGCGCAGAAGAACGGATAAGGAGAACGGTCAACATATACTTTGTTCATATCTGATATCAACGGGAAAAGAATTTTAGCGCAGCGGCCTCCCTTGGGTTGTCTGTTTTCTTTCTACGTCCTCCCATCCCTCCTTTGGGTTGTACGTTTTCTTTCTTTCTTTTCTTTTCTTTCTTTTTAGCGGTCAAGATACGCGCTCGTGTTCCGTCCGCTCCGGGAGCCGCTGACTGTTCCACAGCGCGGACTGTTCTCTTCACCGCCTTCCTGCACATACAAATCATCCGAGTGGGCTAATATCATCCTACAAACGTATGTCGTCAGGAATTCACACCGCGACGACCGACCGGCTCCAATAAATACCGCCACCCCCCTACCTGACGGCGCGCTGCTTGTTGCGCTCGCGCAGCTCGGAGTAGTACGTGTGTGTATGTAGTACTCTCACCTCTTGTCCTCGTCCTCTAGTCCTCGTCGGAGCTCGAGAGGATGAAGACCTCGCTGCCGCCGCCCTTGCCTGCCGCCTCCGCGACCAGCTGCGGGAGCGCGACCGCCTCGTCCACGTCGCCACCCGTCGCGGCGAGTACGGATTCGATCCGCGCCTGCGTGAAGCGGTCCTTGGCGACGCCCTTGTCTTTGAGCCGACGGCTCACGCGGCGGTGCGGCGGCAGCGAGTTCTTCACCGCCTCGGACGGCGCCGACAGCCGCGCCGACGGGGGTGCCGACGACGACGCCGCCGACGCGGACGCGGACGGGCGTTTGCCGATGGGCGGCGGCGGCGCCTTCGGCGGCGGCGCCTTCGGCGGCGGCGCCTTCACCTGCCACCGGTGGTAATCGCTGGCCAGCGCCGCCGTGTTGGGGTTCGAGGTGGTCGGTCGCACATCGCCCCCGGGGCCGTCGCGCTTCTTCATCTTGCTGCGGCCGCTGGGGCCGCCGTCGGCGAGCGGCCGCTTCGGCGCTGCCGTCTCGGCAGGAGCGCGTCCTCCGACCGGCCCGCGCGGCGCGCGATCACCTTGCGCAGCACCTCGCCCATCTTGCCGACGACGTCCTTGTAGGACGGCAGGCTCGCCTTGGGCAGCAGCTTGCCGTCGAGGATCGCCTGCGCGTTGTCGAGCTTGCGCCTCATCAGCTCGCGGACGGCCTCGTCGAACGTGTCCTTGGCGTCGAGGTACACGACCGTCACATCCTTCTCCTGGCCTGCGAAGCGCAGGACCGAAAGCGTGGGTTAGCACAGCGAGTGCGAACGCGTAAACGGGCGCGTCGGACGATCACGTACCGTGGCGGTGCACGCGGTCCTCGGCCTGCTTGTGCTTCTGAGGGTTGAGGTCGCGCGACTCGAAGACGACGTGGTTGAACTCCTGCAGGTTGAGGCCAACGCCGCCGCTGCGGATGGTCGAGAGGAGTGCCTTGACCTCAGGCTCGCGTGCTCGGTCGAGCGCCTTCGACTTGTCCTTCACCTCGCCGTCGAAGCGCTCGCAGCGGTACTGCTCGCGCTCGAGCAGGTTGTAGGCCGTCGAACGCCGCGCCCGTCTGCACAACGAGGCCGCTGAGCAGGTGGCGGCAGCGCGGGCAGGAGGGTCGCGCCGCCGCGTCGCCGCCCTCCTCGCCATCGTCCTCCATCGCGTCCCCAGCCGCCTGCATCTCGTTGAAGTCCTCGCTGCCACCCGCGCCGCCGTCGCCGTCGCCAGCCGCGTCGATGCCCTCGTCGTCGTCGTCCTCCTTGGGCGCCAGACGCCAGTGCTCAGGCCACGCATCGTCGATAATCTCCTGGCGCGTGTACGCCTTCTCGTCCGTGTCGAAGCGACGCTCTTCGCGGCGGCTGCCGTCCTTGGCGTCGTCCTCCGCCTCGTCGTCCGTGTCCTTGTCCTTGCTGGGGTCGAGGTCGGCGTCGGTCTTGTCGGTGCTCACGTCGCGCGCCTCGGGCTTGCAGATGGCGCAGAACTTGGCCTTGGGCTGCTGGGCGCGTGAGGCAAAGAGGACCGAGGCTCGCGCCCCTTGCCCACGAGCACCGGGTGCGAGAGGGCCATCTGCATATTCGTCACCTTCGCCATCAGGATCTGGAAGAGGGTCTCTTCTCCATCTGCTTCGTCTCCGCGCGCTGGCCGAAGGTGCCGCCGCGCGCGCACGCCTTTTTGCGCGCGTTGTCGTACAGGGGCAGGATCTTGAGGAACTCCTTCTCGTGCTGCAGGTACGAGTGCGGCAGGACGTCGCACGAGAAGGCCGCCAAGACGGTCACGCCGCGGTCGTCGTCGGCCGCCAGCAGCACGAACGTCTTCGCCGCCTTTTCGAGCACGCACTGCTTGGCCTCCTTGGCCTCGTCGGCGGCGGCGACCGTCGCCGCGCTTGCGCTCGCCGCCGCGTCTGCCTGGCGGCCTCCACCGGTATGTTCATCAGCTCGCTCTCCATTAGCTGGAAGGCGTGCTTCGCGATGGTCGCGACGCTCGTCGTCTGCGTGTGCACCTTGGCGCCTTGCGCGTCAAAGACCTCGAAGCGCAGCGTGTGCTCATCGCCCAGCAGCCCGATCTCGCGCTGGATGGGCGCGGCGCGTCGTCGTTGGCGGTGAGCACCCCGATTTCCACCGCGGTCGGGGTGTCGCCTCCGCCGCCGCCATCGCCGCCGCTGCCCTCGCCGCCGTGGCCGCCGCTGCCCTCGCCGCCGCCACCGCCGCTGCCCTCGCCGCCGCCGCCGCTGCCCTCGCCGCCACCACCCGCGATGGTCTGCAAGAGCGCCACGCGCACGGAGTGGCCGCGTCGCGCCGGCGCCGCGAGCGTCAGGGAGAGCGTCACGCTCATCCCGAGCTCCAGCGGCTTGTACGCGAGCTCGTACACGACGTGCTTCTTCGGCGGCAGCTTGATGCCGCAGCTGTCCTTGGTGCGGCGCGTGAGCACGTCGCGCTCCCACGCCTCCTTGTCCACCGCCTGCTTCTCCTCGATCCGCCGCAGGCTCAACTGCTGCGGCACCGCCCGCCCCTCCGCCCGCGCGCGCTGCGCCTCGATCAGCCTCGATCGCTTGCCGCCCGATGACCTTGTCCGGCGACTCCATCATGTCCTTCCAAAAGTGCAGGTCGGCGTAAATCCACGACGGGTCGATCAGAAGGTGCAGCGTGGCCATGTCCTGCAGGTGGTTGTTGTAGCCGGTGCCGGAGATCGAGATGACGCGCGGCGCGTGGAGGCCGGCGGCGACGGCGACCGAGCATCGTCGCGAGGGTGTGCGGGTTCTTGAGCTCGTGCACCTCGTCGATGAGGACGATCGAGTAGATGTGCTGCGCGCGCGTGAAGCGCTTCTGCGCCTCGCGCCAGATGGCGAGCACGCCGCCGCTGGGCGTCGAGTCGTCGCCGTCCTTGTGGTCCTCGCGCACGTACATCCGGTCCTCGCCCGTTGCTGCCTTGCCGCTGCCCTTCTTGGATGCCGCCCTTGATGTTCGCGTGGTCGTACTTCTGCTGAAGCGCGAGCACCGTCTTTTGCAGTAGGTGCGGCGCGAGCGGCGAGGGCTTGTAGCCGCCGGCCTCGCGCTGTGAGCGGAACGCGTGCGACATCTCGGTCTGCAGCTGGCTGCGCGTGACAATGGCCAGTCGCGGCCGCGTCGCCTTGTCCTCGTCCTCGCCGGCCGGCCGAGAGAAGCGCTTGTGCAAGGCCTGGCCGAACTTTTCGCCTGAGTGCGACCAGATCTCGCGCTCCTCGAGCATGCCCAGCGCCTCCAGCCGCCACTGCGCCGCCACCGCCGCGTTGGGCGCGACGACGAGGGCCGGCTTCGCCTGCCGGCCGAGTCGGGCCTCAATGTAGGCGCGCACGGCGAAACCGGCGAGCGCCATTATTGTCTTGCCAAGGCCCATGTCGTCGCCCTCCGCAATGTCGCGCTGCACGGGCATCTCCGGCAGCGTGTCCGGCTTGCCCTCCGAGTCAAACGACACCGGCCAGTCGCTCGGTACACCGGCGACGGCGCGGACGCCAACGAATTGGTGAGGCTTGCGCTTGGAGATGCCACTTGCAGCCAACGTGCTTGAGAAGCAGTTGCAAGGGCCGGTCGGCAGCCGTCCCCGACCAAGATTATGGCGCAGAGGGAAAAAGAAAAAGCGGGGATAAGAAACGCTGCAGGTCTTGTTCCCGCGCGTCGGCGCTTCCGTGGGCCCGGGTCCCTTAAAGAAGGGAGCAGACTAGCAGATGGAGGGCATGACGGAGCTCGAGAACGCCGCCGTTGGCGCTGCCTCCGCTGGCTGCGTCGCCGTCACCCTCCAGCCGACGCTCTACTGGAAGAACGCTGCCGCCCAGGCGAGCAGGAGCCATCCCTCCCCGCGCCAGTGCGGCAGCCTCGCTCCCAACTCCGCGCCCACCCCCGCGGCAGGGCCTGCCCTTCACCCTGCGGCCGTCCCTGCTCTTCCGCGGCTGCGGCGCCAATCTGCTCAAGGAGACGTCGGAGATGGCGCTGCAGTTCGCCGCCGCCGGGCGGATGAAGGCGGGCGGCGACGCCTCGTCCTCGGCCGCCCGCGAGATTGCGGGCGCCGTCGGGGGCGGCGCGGTCGGTGCTCTGCTTGTGACGCCGTTCGAGTGTGTCATGGTGCAGCAGCAGCTGCTCGGCACCTCGCTGCTGCAGACGCCTCTCGACATCGTGCGGCGGCACGGTGCGCTCGACGGCCTCTACCGTGGGCTGGGTCTCGCCGCGCTGCGCGACTCGATCTACGTCGGCTGCATGCTCGGACTCACTCCCGTGGCGCGCAGTCGCGGAGAGACGCGCCCGCGCACTAGACACGCCGCGCCGCGCCGCGCTCTTCGCGCGGTGGAGCCCGCCGCTGCGACGCGAGGCTGCGACGCGAGGCTGCGACGCGAGGCTGCGACGCGAGGCTGCGTGACAGCTTCCGGCCGCCGCGCCGCCGCAGGTCCGGCGACGCCTCATCGAGGGCCACGAGCTCCCGCCCGCCGCCGCCAGCCTCTGCGCCTCGGCCGTCGGCGGCGTCGCCGGCGGAGTCTTCTCGCACCCGATGGATGTCGTCAAGACGTGCATGCAGGGCGACCTCGCGCGCGCCGTGCACCGCGACCCCCTGCTCACCTGCCGCAACCTGATCGCCGAGGGAGGGATCGGCGCCCTGATGCGCGGCGCGGGATGGCGCACGCTCAACATCACGCTCACGGTCTTCATCGCGGGGGAGGTGTGCCAGCGCCTGCCCCCCTACCTGCTGCGCCTCACGCGACGGGCGGAGCCGGCGCCGGCGCCGGTGCCGCTGAACGAGTGACGAGAGCCGCCGTTGGCGCGCTTCGAGACCGCCCCGCGCTCAGCACTTGCCGCCTGCGGCTGCGCGGCCGCGGCGTGCCCTCAAGCTTTTCATTTATTTCCATTTCGAGGACGGTCCTACGAGCTACGAGAGAGAGAGCGCTCTAAAGCCGTACGCCGAACGGCACAGGCCGGCCCCCGCCAGCCACACAGCTGAATTAGTCTGTTTTCCCTCTTCTCTTCACAGTCTCAGTCTCTTGGAGCACTTGGGAGTGCAGTTGGTAACCTCACAAAAGGGCCAGGGAGCTAGGAAGCGCACTCAGCCTCACCCTTTTTATTTTCGGGACCACAGAAGCGCGAGCTGTGTGCGAGTGTCGTGCCATCTCTCTTCACCTCCACGCCCACACGCCTGCGAGCATGCCACGATGTGCCGCGTGTGGCCGTGAGGGAAAGAACGCGGATATGTTCGCAAAGGCGCAGCTCGCAAAGCCGGCCGGCGAGCGGCGCTGCAAGGGCTGCACCGCCGCAGCCTCCAGTGAGGACGACGGGCTGCTCACCCTCGAGGAGAATGAGCTGACGCTCGAGGAGAACGACGACGAGCTCATCCTCGAGGAGAACGACGACGACGACGACGACGATGAGCCGCTCGTGCTCGAGGAGAATGAGGCTGAGAGCGACTCGTCCGACGACCTCGTCCTAGAAGACAACGCAGCTGGTAGGACATCGGACAGCGAGGGCCCGATGCTCGAGGAGAATGAGGACGGAGGCTCAGGCGGTGGCGGCGCGCCCTCGGCGGAGCGCGCCGATGCGCTGCGTGCCGAGGGGAACGGCCACTTCAAGGCGGGCCGGGTGGCCGAGGCGCGAGCGGCGTACGGAGCCGCCCTCTCCTCGCTTCCGCTGGGCGACAACGCGGGCCGCGCGACGCTGCTGACCAACCGGGCGGCGGCGGCGCTCAAGGCAACCGACTGGACCGCCGCCATCAACGACTGCACCGCCGCGCTCACCCTGACGGCCATCGGCAGCGAGACGCGCCGCAAGGCGCTCTTCCGGCGCGCCACCGCCTTTGTCGAGGTCGGAGACCACTCGTCGGCGCGAAGGGACCTGGGCGAGCTGCCGCTGGACGACTCAGCGGTCGCTCGGCTCCGCAGGACCGTGGAGGCCGCTTCCGGCCCCGTCCGCGGCGGCGGCGGCGCCGCCGCCACCACCGCCGCCTCGGAAGCTGCGGGGGCGGCGTCGGGGAGGGCGGGAGGCCGCCGCGTGATCTCTTGCATCGCTCCGACGACGCCGGAGCGGCACCTCTTCCACGAGAGCGCGCTCTACCGCTGCTTCGCCGCGCAGACCCACCCGCACACGGAGCTCGTCGTCGTGGACACGGGCCCGACCCCGTCGGCCTTCTTCTCGTCGGCAGAGTTTGAAGACCGGCGTGCCGCAGCCCGCCGAGGGAGGGCGCGCCTCCGCCCCGCTGCAGTTCCGCGCGCCCGCGCGACTCGCCACGTAGGCGCGTCAAGTACATCCACCAGGTCGGGCACATGACCATCGGCGAGAAGCGCAACGTCGCCATCGCCGCCGCCTCGGGCGACTTCATCTGCCACTTTGACGACGATGACCTGTACGCGCCCAGCTACCTGGCGACTATGCTCGCCGCGCTCGACGACGCGGGCGCCGACTTTGTCAAATTGAGCGCGTGGTTCGTCCACGACCTGCAGACGGGCGCGACCGGCCACTTCGACGCCGAGGCGGGCATGCCACACCCGTCGCTCGCGCCGCTGACGGAGCAGTTTCTCTACACGTACGGCTTCTCCTTTCTGTACCGGCGGAAGCTCTTCCCCGCGTTCTCGTTCGCGGCCACCTCGTGGGGCGAGGACCAGGACATCCTCAAACGCGTGCGCGGCGGCGGCAGGCGCGTCGCCCTTCACCGGGACCGGACGGGCATCTGCCTGCACAACCAGCACGGCGAGAACTGCTCGCGCTCCTTCGCGCAGACGACCGTCACGCTCGACACGCTGCGCGCCTCGCCGCTCGGGCCGCTGCTGCCGGCGCTGCCGCTCATTGGCCGCGCGCTCGCGGGCGGAAGGCGCGTCGAGGGCGAGAGCGGCGTGTACGGCGACAAGGAGGTTCGCTCCGATAATGCGGGCGGCCTCTTCTGCTGGGACTCGCAGCTCGCGGCGCGGCGCGGCGACGGGGACGGGACCCTCACCGCCTTCACCGAGTGGCTCTGGTCGGGCAACGGCTTCTCCAAGGCGCGGTACGACAAGCTCGGCCTCGCGCGCCCCGCGCCGCCGCAGCAATTCCTCGAGCGCAACGGCAGCAGCGCCGCGGCGGCCGGCGGCGGCACGGCGGCGGCGGCTGAGGCGCTCCGCGCCGGCGCTGGCCAGGGCCTCGAGTCCCTCCGCAGCGTTGAGGGGATGCGCGAGCCGCACGCGCCCGGTGCGATCACCAACCCGGCGTCGTACCGCCCGGGCGGCATCGGCAACCCGGTCGCGGCCACAGGCGGCCCGGGCCTCGCTTTTGGCCAGTCCTCGCGGAAATTCACGCTCTAGGATAAGGAAGCACCATCTAGTAGAAGGTATTTCAGTTCAATCAATGTGCATTCTCTGTTTCAGAATAAGCTCACTGTGATTACTCGACCGCCCGCGCCCCGCCCAAAACGCGACACATACTATGTCCCAACGACAGTATAGCTAACGACAGGGTCTCCTGACGAGAGTAGTCCTGCC